CTTCTTTCCTCTATTAGTAAAACACACATAATAATTTAGTAAAACATGCATAATAATGCCTGTTAAGTACCAGGAATGTTGTTAGGAATACAAGAAGGTTAGTTTTTCTCCCTTTTATCAGAGAACCCACTTTCTAGAGGGGGAAAAAGTCTATAAAGAGATTTCTGCAATAGAATGCAGGTATGATTAAGATATGGTAGTCACTCAAAGAACACAACTATCTTTATTTGAAGTTGAGGAAGGTTTCCAGAAAAGTAACATTGTAACTGAACCTTGAAGTCTAAACATCCTTTTGATTTGCCAAAGCTGATGTGCATTTCAGGTAGAAGGAATTCAATGTGCAGGGCCAGGGAGTTATGTGTGCCAACTATTAATTGAGACGATGAGAAATTTGATATCCACTTGGGGTTTGGGGAGAAGAGCAATGAAAATAAGACTGGCGATGGAGATTAGAGACAAAGAGTGAAGTGTTATGTGTACTAAGCAAATTGACCTTGACTCAGCCAGAGTTCCTTATCTGAATCCCAAAAGAGCATTTATTTTATCATTTTTCTCAGAGATAGAACATAACCCATATCATTCTAGAGGCATAAGGGAGAGGTTAATTCATTGCATACAATGGATGCTTTAAGAGACTAGGGCTTAATTCTCTCACAAAATCCTGGTTGAGAAAGGCTTAGTGAGGGCCCCATAAGTCTTTCAGCTGGAAATAAGCATACCAACTCTCTGAGCACGGTGTGGAGCATTATGGGGAACAGTCAGTAGCTGGAAGACCAGAGAAAGCTTTCATAATGGTTCAGATGAGAGAAATGAGGATATCAAATGATGATAACTGGAGAATTTATCTCTAAGGTACAGCACAAGAGAATTTGGTAACTAATTTGATGAAGAGCACATGCAAGAAAGATAAATTAAATATGAATCCATAGTTTTTAGTTTGGAAGATGGCATGAATGGCAATGCCATGAACTGAGACATGAATATAGTGGGGAAAGTAGTTTTGGAGGGGATAGCAAAAATCAATTTAATATATGCTCAAGTTGATGTGCCTACAAGACATCCAGCATGTAATGGCCAGGAAAGTAGCAGTTAAATTGAGTGCAAAGCTCAAGAAAGACAGTAGAGCTACAATAACAGTGATAGTGAACATTTGCCAGTGCTGGGCCCTATTGTAGGCGCTTAACACATAATAACACATTTAATCCTCATAACCATTTTCTGAGGCAGGAGCTCTCTTGTTTCTATTTTGTGGATGAGAAAAATTAAGGCAAAAGGTGTTTAAATACCTGCCAAATTCTCACAGCTAGTAAGTGATGGGGACAAAATTCAAAGCCAGGCACCGTGGCTTACAGTATTATATAAATACATTCTAGAAATGTAGGAGTTTTTGGTGGTCACCGAAGTCATGGGAGAAATCGTTGGAAAAGCATGCAGAATGAACGTCTAATGGGAGGCCTCTCCACGCCTGTAGACAGGAAGCTCGTGGGGAACGTTGAGAGTCTCTTGACTTTGTTCCTGTTCCCCAGACCCTTTGTTCAGACCCTGTGATGTCACTCCCTCGGCCAGGAACCCAACTTTTTTGTGTTATATTTCTGACCGAGACCATAATGCTCTGTTCCTCAGTCCCATCTCCTTGTAGAATTAAACTGCTGATCACAGCCCCCAGTTTGCCTGTTAGTGTCCCCACGAGACTCCAGTGGCAGGGAGATGGACATACTTTCAATTTATGAATGTATTTAGTTATTCAGCAAATATTTTTTGAGCACTTTCCATTTGCCAAGGACTATTCTAGACTCTGAAGATATAGTAGAGAATAAAACAGAACAGAATCTTTGCCCTTATGAAGCTTAAATTTGAGTAAACACTCCAGGAACATTCTTAGTATCTTACATTGGTGAAGCACTTTCAATTTTCCAAAGCATTCCCATAGCTACTCTAAGAGGTGACAGTGGCAGGCATGACCATCCCCACATTGTAGACGCCCTGGATCGTATACAGTGGAACCTTGAACCATATCCCACAGGCTCCTGCCACTTAGATTTTTCAACTAACCTTTATGGACTTGCTCTTTGCCAACACTGCCTAAAGCTCTGCTTCATTTAAAAGCCTTACTTGGTCACATGATAGTATAGATTTCAAATTCACTTTAATCTAAGACTTTTATAAGTCATAGCCCGTGGATATAGACACCTTTGCTAAAGCAGAATGGCACCATGCAAATACATTTTAAATAGCCGTTAGTACCTACAAGGTATCTATGAAAGTAGCTACAGCGTTCTTATGTAATAAACATAGACCACTACTTGGTATTTCTTATATCTTTATATATCAGAATAAACAACTTATTTGTTTAAAACCTAATGAGGAGGTAGTGAGGAGGTAGATGATTTAAAGGGGGTCAAATATGTGGTGACAGAAAGAAATCTAATTATGGAAGGTGAATACACAGTGTGAATATACACATACCTTACTGTTAAAGTGTACAGCTGAAACTTTTTGGATTTCATTAACCAATGTCACCATAAAATAAATTAATTGATTAATTTAAAAACATTAGGAAAAAAAAAACCTAATGAACCTGTAAACCATATGTTAATATCGTCATTTATCGAAATTGACAAAGTGTTTGCTAATATTTATTTATATTTCTATGAGGTACCTTGGTGTGGCCCAGGAAGTGTCAGGCACATGCCCTCTCCTCACGGGGCCTGTAATCTAGCTGTGGAGACGAGGTCTGCCTGCATCAGATGAAAGCCCACAGTGCAGCCCAGTCTATGATGAAGTGTAGAACGGCTGGGATAAACAACAAATGAGATAGAAGTTCAAAAGTGGGTGTGAACTCTGAGGCGGGCCGGATAATTAGGGAAAAGTTTAATTTTAAAAAGCAAGGCCGTAAAAAGCTCTTAAAGAATATTTAGAAAAGTATTCGGGTGCCCATGTGAAGGATGGGATGTTCCAGATGTTGGGAACAAGGGAAGAAGAAGAGTGTGGGCAACGGGGTCCAGACAAAATGCTAAGTGAAGGACTTTGGACTTGCCATTAAAACAGGCGTGTGTGTCTAATGCTATCTAAAACCTCGTAGAACCTGAAGATCCAAATGAAGGACTTTGAAGTAAGTGCTGAGCCTGTGCAGAACTGGCTGAGTAAAGCCGAGAAGGCAGTGCATGAAAACAGCAACCGCCTGTACGACCTGCCAGCGAAGAGGAGAGAACAGCAGAAGCTCCAGGTGATGAGACACTGGGCCCGCATGGCCA